AGAACGAGGGCCAGGCGTTTCTGGATGGTGCCTGTTCAGATGAGTTTGCGGCGGCTGTGGAGGCCTTCCCTCATGAAGATGTCTTCCTGTTTGCGGCGCTCATGGCCCACGAGCTCGGGCACAACCTGGGTATCCAGCACGACCACCCGAGCTGCAGCTGTGGTCCTAAGCACTTGTGCCTCATGCATGAGAAGATCAGTAAGGACAGTGGCTTCAGCAACTGCAGCTCTGACCACTTCCTCCATTTCCTCCACGAGCACAGAGGGGCCTGCCTGCTTGACCAGCCTTGGCACCAGAGCCGCAAGCGCAGAGATGCCCGCTGTGGAAATGGCGTGGTGGAGGATCCGGAGGAGTGTGACTGCGGTAGTGCCTGTGACAGTCACCCATGCTGTGGGCCAGCATGTACACTGAAGGAGGGTGCACAGTGCAGTGATGGACTCTGTTGCTACCAGTGTGCATTCAAGAAGAAAGGGAGCTTATGTCGTCCTGCCGAGGATGTGTGCGACCTTCCCGAGTACTGTAATGGCAACACTCCAGAATGCCCTGCAAACAGCTACATGCAGGATGGCACACAATGTGATAGGATTTACTACTGCTCTGGGGGTTGGTGCAAGAACCCTGATAAGCAATGCGCAAGGATCTATGGGTATCCTGCAAGATCTGCCCCTGAGGAATGTTACATTTCAGTTAATACTAAAGCGAACCGGTTTGGAAATTGTGGCCACCCCACCTCGGCTACCTTAAGATATGAAACATGTTCTGATGAGGATGTATTTTGTGGGAAACTGGTATGTACAGATGTTAGATACTTGCCGCAGGTCAAACCCCTGCACTCGCTCCTCCAGGTTCCTTATGGAGATGACTGGTGTTGGAGCATGGATGCCTATAACGTTACTGATATCCCCGATTACGGAGATGTGCAGAGCGGCACCTACTGTGCTCCTAACAAAGTCTGCGTGGAGTACATCTGCACTGGTCATGCGGTGCTCCAGTATGACTGTGAGCCACGGGAAATGTGTCATGGGAATGGAGTGTGCAACAATTTCAAGCACTGTCACTGTGACGATGGCTTCGCCCCTCCTGACTGCAGCAGTCCAGGAAATGGGGGCAGTGTGGACAGTGGTCCTGTTGGTAAGACAACTGATCGAAACTTGAGTCTTTTTACATTTGGCGAGAGTCAAGATGCCAGGATGGACGACGACGAGATCAACCTGAAAGTGGTGGTGCTCGTGGTCCCTATATTCCTTGTCCTCTTACTGTGCTGTCTGATGCTGATTGCCTACCTCTGGTCTGAGGTACAGGAAGCAGTGTCTCCAGGGTCTTCCTCAGAATCTTCATCGTCAGAATCCTGGTCAGAGTCAGAGGACTGATCTTCTCCTGGATTGTTGCTATGGATGGCTTGTATTTGCAGGGCAGTTTTGACTAAGTGGTTTTTAGGGCGTGCTGCATCTACACTGTTTAGTGTGTTTTATATATACGTGTGTTGCTCATCTCAGTAACAACTGGGTATTATATCGTGAATGTTCTTATGGGATCTCAATGTTCTAACTTGCCCTGTCAGCTACTGTCCATAAAATAGAAGTCATTTTAAATAAATATAAATTATAAGGCCTTTTTTTCCCCACTTCAGATGAAGCATTATTCCAGACTAGTCATCCTCATACTGAGTGATCTTTAGGGTTGGTTTCTTGTTTTTTTTTTGTTTTGTTTTTTAAGATTTATTTATTTTAGAATATGAGTACACTGTCGCTTTCTTCAGACACACCAGAAGAGGGTATCGAATGTCCATTCCAGATGGTTGTGAGCCACCATGTGGTTGCTGGGAACTAAACTCAGGACCTCTGGAAGAGCAGTCAGTGCTCTTAGCCACTGAGCCATCTCTCCAGCCCTGGTTTTGGTTTTTTAAGACAGGTTTTCTCTTTCAAATCCCAGACAAGTTGTCCCAGGACTCACTGTGTAAACCAGGCTGGCCTCAAACTCACAGGGATCCTCCTGCATCTGCCTCCCAGGTGATGTGATTAAACCCGTGTGTGCTATGCCTGTGCCTCCTCCCCCTCCTCCCCCCCAAGCAAGATCTTTAGTTTTAAGGCACGGGAGCAGACTCAGTCTCACGTACTTAGCAGGGACTTGATCACAGGAAGCAGTCTCGGCAACAGTTCCGACCAGTGCTGAGCTCAGATTTGCAGCACTTAGTTTGCCCAGTTTTTCTATTGAATTTGATTTTTTAAAATGTATTTACTTTTATTTTGTATGCATGAATATTTGCCTGCACATATGTATGTGTACAAGTTGTACGCCTTTTGTCCAAGGAGGCCAGAAGAGAGCACTGGTTCCTGTGGACAAGGAGCCATAGGCAGATGTGAGCTGGCATGTGAGTGCCAGCTAGGGACTGACCCTGGATCCTCTGTCCGGGCAGCTGCTTTGCTTTCTACTGAGCATCTGTCTCTCTCTGTCCCCAACCTGGCAGCTGCTGTGATGTGGGTTGCCAGTGTCTGCGTGCAATGTCTGCAGTGTGAAGATCGTTTCCTCTGAGACCCAGAGCTAGTACAAAGCACAGTTCATTCTGTGTGACAGAAGGCTCCACACCACAGTCACTGTTATAAACTCCCCAGAAACGGGCAAGAGGAGCAAGTGGTGGGTACTCTACACAGCAGCCTACATTCTGTATCACCTGAGCCTTTCCCCTCAGTAAAAAGGAGAACGTTTGAGTCTGATTGGCTAGGTGGTTCTTTAATTAGATATTGACCCGTATCAAGAACCTCCTGTACCATCTGATTATTTTAAAAGTATCCTCAAACTGACCATTGGCTGCGAACAGAGGTCAGTGGTAGTATTTTTGGTTAGCACATGCAGTGCCCTAGATCCAGTTCCCAGGCAAGTATGGGGTCTCATGCCTGTAATCTCAGCACTAGGGAGACTGAGGCAGGAGAACTGGCAACAATGCTTGGCCAGCCTGGGCTACAGAGTAAATACCCTTACAATAAAAATGTGCAGTTCAGCTGGGTCCCAGCACTTGGGAGGCTGAGGCAGGTGGATACCTGAGTACAAGGCCATCCTGGTCTATATAGAGAACTACATTTCTGTGAGTTCCAGGATAGCCAAAACTACACAAACCCTGTCTTGTCTCAGAAAAAAGAAAATAAATGAAAATAAAATGTGCAATTTATTGTGTAGTTAGAGAACTGTATCAACTCTTGCTTTGTTTTGCCAAGTAGAAGATTCTGGTCTTCAGCATGACAGACCTTAGATCATAGAATCTAGGGTCTTGCAGTGGTTTTCAATCTAGGGACACAACAACCTTTACACAGGGGTCTCCTAGGACCATCTGCATATCATATATTTACATTATAATTCATAACAGCAAAATTATAGGTATGAAATAAGGAATGGAAACAACACGGAGAACCGCCTTTCAGGGTGACAGCACTAGGAAGGTTGAGAACCACTACTCTAGGAATATTGTAATCCTTGAGATATAACACCACTTTACAAAGCTAAAAGGATTTGCTCACAGAGCAGACACAGTGAGAACAACACAGCATGGGGACTCAGTGGCTTGCCTTCGGCTGGGATGGGGGAAGTGTGACTAGCAGACACAGCTGTGTTCGGGATAAGATGCCGGCTAAAGACACAGTGGCCGAGTCCACAAGGTGACTGGGTCTGGACTCGGCAGACAAGCTAGCCATCCGTGTCTTTGGAGAGCTGTGGGCTGATGGCTGCTGTCTTGCTAGAGGAGGGACATCTGTGTACGTGTTGCTGAAATGAGGAAGAGTCTGGGACGATGTCAGAGGATCCACAGTGTCCACCGTGGAGACCATTATGCTGGAAAGCATGAGAAAGGTCCTCTTAAAAGAGTTTTACTGCAGACGTCCTCAGCTCCACATCCAGCATGTGGTATCTCTTCAGCACCCAAGCCCTCCAGAGCTGTGCACTCGGTATCGACACCATGGGCAGTCACACAGGACAGGAGCTGGTCTCTGCTTCCAACCTGTGACCTGTAGCCAGTGTCCAGTGTGACTCTTAAATGCAAGTCAGGTCACTGATAACTTTCTTTTAAGATTTAGTTATTATACATACAGTGTTCTGCCTGCATGCCAGAAGAGGGCACCAGATCATGTGAACCACCATGTGGTACTGGGAATTGAATTCAGGACCTCTGGGAGAACAGCTAGAGGAAGTGCTCTTAACCTCTGAGCCATCTCTCCAGCCCCACTGATGAACTTTTAAATACTGTTGACCAGTTCATAAAGAGGACTGCATTGCTTGTGTAGTCTGTCTCATGCTCGTCGGCTCCAGTGCCAGTGAAATGACGTGGCTGAGGGTGAAACCTCATTCTAACAGAGTAAGAGGATGAGCCCATTAGTGGGCTGTTCTCGTGCTTTAGCATGTGAGTGAGTGTTTGCCTGCATGTCCGTGCAGCACATCTGGCTTATGCCTGGTGACTGCAGAGGACAGAAGAGGGAAGGAACCATAGTACCTCCAGTATCCAGGAACAGTGCTCCAGAAAGTCAGGAGCTTGAAAGGAACTGACCAAGTTCATGGAGGAGAATTAGAAGTAACAATCCTAAGGAAACTTAGATACAGACATGCAAAACAAATGCGAAAGGCATCCCAGAATATAAACATCATAAGTGATGTAACAAAAGCATAATAATATAGGGTCCTAAAGCAGTGGGTGAGAACCACACAGGAAAGAGCTAACTGCCTTGCAGCCAATTTCTCAGCAAAAACCATACAGTCCAGAGGCCTGGCAAAGACTTGTCAACAAAATTACCGTGCCTTGGGATGGAACATTGGCTGCTCCTACAAGAGGACCCAGGTCAGATTCCCAGTGTTTACATAAATATATGAGCCTTTACTCATACATATTATTATTTTTTTTTAAAGATTTATTTATTTATTATTTGTAAGTACACTGTCGCTGTCTTCAGACACCCATATGAGGGCATCAGGTCTCATTGCAGATGGTTGTGAGCCACCATGTGGTTGCTGGGATTTGAACTCATGACCTCTAGAAGAGCAGTCAGTGCTCTTAACCGCTGAGCCATCTCACCAGCCCCTCATACATATTAATAGTCTTTAAAAAACCTACTACACCCTGTAAAAGTTATTCTTCAGAACCAAAGGAGAAATAAAGGATTGCATAGGTGAGCAGAAGCTGAGGGAATTCTGCAAGATCACTTCTATAAACACACCCTTCAAGAAACAGCCAAGGACCTCCACACTGGAGAGGAAAACACACAAATGTGAAAAACTCACTACATGTCCCAGGGGTGTGACTCAGTTGGTACAGTGCTTGCCTAGAGGTCACCCCTCAGATCCAGACAAACAAGATGGGATCAGAAAATCAAGGTCATCCTTGGCTACGTGGTTTGAGGCCAACCTGAAATACATGAAACTTTGTTTAAAAAAATAAATGAATCAAGAAAGCATATGAATTGTAAATACATACACACCTCTGATGGAACCACTCAAACACAAATGACAAACACTATGAGATCTAAAAGTAACGGGAGCTGGAGAGATGGCTCAGTGGTTAAGAGCACTGACTGCTCTTCCAGGGGTCCTGAGTTCAATTCCCAGCAACCACATGGAGGCTCACAACCATCTGTAATGGGATCCGATGCCCTCTTCTGGAGTGTCTGAAGAGAGCCACAGTGCACTCACATACATAATATAAATAAATCTTTTTTTAAAAAGGTAAAGTATTCAATATCCCACTTGCTTGAATTTATACATCATCCACAATGAAAATCAAGAACGTAGCATCTGTTTGACCACACTTTAGGACTTTCCACATGTCCTGGAAGGCAGTACAGAACACTTGCTCTAACAGCAGGAGGGCACACACTACTCCCATCAGCTTGTGAGACAGTCTCTAAGATAAATACTACGTAGATTAAGACATCAGGTCTTGGGCTGTTGAGCTGGCCGAGTTGTAAATGTGTGCACCACACTCACAAAGGATCTGAGTTCAGTACGCAGCACCTGAGTCAGGCAGCCCTCAACTGCCTATAATCCCACTCCAGGGAGCAGACGCTTTCTTCTGGCTTCCATGGACATCTGCATACACACACACACACACACACACACACACACACGTCTCAAAAAATCCTTTTTGTTTTTTTGTTTTTCAAGGCATGGTTTCCTCTGTGTAGCACTGGCTGTTCTGGAACTCATTCTGTAGATCAGGCTTGACCTTGAAATCAGATCTGCCTGACTCTGCCTCCCAAGCCAGGATTTTTATTTTTTATTTAAAAATATTTTTAGATTATTTTATGCTTATGAGTGCTTTACCTACATGTATGTAAGTGCAACATATGCATGCCTGAGAAAGCTTTAGCTCAACCTGGCATTACAACAGATACCACAGAAACTGCAGGATCACCAGACACACTGCAGGAGCCCGTTCTGGCCATGTGCACTGACACAGGCCTTTCAGCCGGGAGTACTTGGGCCTCTCTGTTTCTGTGAACCGGGGAACATTCAGGGCTTCCAGAGAGTTGCATGTCTGGAGAGCTAAGTAGCAAGAAAGTGCCAAGGAGAGCCTACAACTACTTGTTTGTGACATGTGTGTGGTGATGGTTTTGAAGGAGCCTGAGGTGCACCTGA